CCCCAAAACCCCAAAACCCCAAAACCCCAAAACCCCTACAATCTCAATTTACGATGATAAGTTAGTAATTTTTTATTAATTTGATAATAAAACCGCGAAAGAAAATGATGGCAGATATTAAGATGGAGGATTAATCATCTATGTTAAATAGTAGTCCAGATAAATAAATCTAATATGAGCAAATCAATGATTAATTTGATGATGACGATATCGAAATATCTGGTAAACAACCCTGATTTTGATAAAAATGTCATAGAATAGGAAGATGAGATTGAGGACAACTAAAAATCTAGAGCTCCCCGCTCAAATGGAAGAGGATAAGATTTCCTAATTACAGCTTACAGCTAAAACTTTAGAGATGCGCATTTTTACTTTCCTGTTAGTTAATATATATTTTACGAATATTTGTAGAGTTATTTTGAGACTCAAAGATAAAGAGGAAAAGTGACTGAAGAAGATGAAAAAAAGGGGAAATAGATTCTTCTTAAAGGAGACTTTATCAATGATAAATCTAGAAGTAATTAGGCTGCTAAAAAAGATCTATAAAACTTAAAGAAACTTAAAGTACCTTCAAAAAAAAGTTTTAAATCAGACTATGAAGATATTCATCCTTTTGATGACGAAGATAATATACCTAACCAAGATTTAACATAGTTAAAAAATGATGAGGATGCAGTGAGAGAATAGGAGGATACTTCAACTAAAAAGCATCTTTAGTAAAAGCAAGCCATTCTAAGTCAACTATTTTCTCAGAAGAACTTTTAGTCTTGGAAGTACTTTTTAGACTGTGGGTTCAATCTACTAATCTATGGAATTGGGAGCAAGAGAAAACTTATCAATAACTTTATACAGCATTATCTTCAGTAGGAGCCTTGCATCATTTTAAACGGATTTCATTCAGCTACTACAATTAAGTCTCTAACAAATCCCATAATCAAATTTATTTACAAAAATATTCCTAACACAAAAAATTACAATTCAGTAGTTGATCAAATAGAAGAAATAAAAAGAGTGCTAGACAAACCTCGTCCTGAAAATCAATTTACCAAAATTTATGTTATCATACATTCAATGGATGTAGGAGCATTGAAAAATCATGAATGGCAGTAGTATATTAGTGAACTAGCTAATGTCAGATCAATTTCACTTATTGTAAGTGTGGATCATATTAATTCAGGTATAATGTGGAGTGATTCAATGCTAGATAGATTTAATTTCTATGCATCAGAGGTAAATACATTTGAGGACTTTGATACTGAGCTTGAGTATCAATCACCACTGTTCTAATTTAAGAATGATAATCAAGAAGTTGGATTGTTATTTGTATTTAAAAGCATGACTGGTAATTAAAAGAAATTGATAAGCATAATCGCTTAATATTTACTTGATAATCCATAAGAGAAAGGAATTTCGTATAAGGAATTAATGATTAAATGTGTTGAGTAGATGGTGTGCCACAGTAATAAATAAATGAAGGATGGACTCCATGAGGCTCTTGATCACAAGATTGTTATTGAAAAACAAGATGATAAAGGTCATATTTACTTATGTATGAACTATCCCGTTCCACTGCTTGAAAAGATAGTTAATGACGAATTTAAGTGATTTATTTTATTGCTATTTTAGTTTTATTGCATTTAATTCATATAAATGCAAGTTATTTTTACGTGTTGGGGTTTTGGGGTTTTGGGGTTTTGGGGTTTTGGGG